TCCACAGACTTGGATCAACAGAATATTCTTTTGATAACCGACGCATCTGTCCTTCGATTACTTCATTTGCACCAAATTGAGTTCTGCAAGCCGTGCACTTGGAAGTACATGAACGTGGAGCTCCATTTAGCGGCCTGCAAAATGCCTTCTCGCTCACCGGTATTGGCTGTAGCTTCTTTTGATTGCAGTGAGGACATCGATCATCTGTGATCGGATATGTTGCCTTCACAATAGATGCGACATACTCAGTAATTTTGCTTCGAAACTTCAGTGACTGACATGCATCGTAATACTCCCCAATTGTGCGCGGCATTCCATCGATCCAGATCAACATGTGGTTGTGTAAATCACCAGTCGAATTTTGTGACTCCGTGGAAGCAAAAAAACCTACAGTTCGACCAAACAGCCCGAATCCAGGCTTGGAAACATTACTTGCTTGATCCCAATTAAGCACCACACCAATGAATACGTTCATCATGTTATCGAAGTATCTGATTGTGTTGTTTACAAGCCATGTGTTAGTAATTGCGCCTGGAAGCATGACAAGAATGTTGATACATACCTCGCACACGCTGTCGGGTTTTTTGTAGCTATCATTCCAAGGCGTGCCTGTGTGAATTGAAGACAATGATTAATTGAAATCCGAGCCCGCTTGAGGTCACAACTTGGAATATCACCCGCGAGGTTTCCGACGTGATATGTACCGCTGCTGCTGGGAGAAAGTGTAAAAAAGATCGAAGGTTGGCCCAAATCTAATTGCATAGACATTACTTTTGTGCGAGCATCTGAGCGTTCTTCGTTAGTCCCCCAGTGCGCGCGCAGCCCAGTTGAAATTCCAGAAAACAAATCACTTACACGTTTGGCTTGTTGGGGAGGATCCGGCATTTGCTCTCGCCGACTCATCGCTCTCAGTCTTTTTTCTTGAAACTCCACATGGTCCAGCAACTCCGAGCGGTCAACACTTGCAGCACTACTTAGTACGCGTGGTGCTAGTTTTGCGCGTAAGTACACGGCACGCATTGATCGATGACGCGCTAGCACGTCGAACGCAACTAACACAAATGAAGGGTGGCTTTCATGCCGTCGGTG